CACAGTCTGTGCACTTGTTGACCTGCAGAGGCTTCCAGAACCGCACAACCCAGAGACAGGCAGCAGGATATTCTTTATCTAGTCTTGAGTTTGTTTACAGATAAGATCCACTTCAAACTACATTTTACATCACACAGACTATGTTTGTCGCTAACAGAGCTGTCACTCCACATTATTGACATGCCATTGCAGGCTAACACTATACGCACAACTAATCAAATTCATGAATATGGCACCTAAAATTCCTACCAACAACTCCAACCTGACTCTTGACACCAATAAACTGTGTCACAAGGCCTTTATTTGTTTCTTTTATCCCCCCAAACCCCAAACTGTTCTTTTTTATGTTTAAAAAAAAAGACTGTCATAGCAGAAATGAATAGTGTACATAGTTGTTACTGGAGGATAATACAAGTCTTGATTCAAGATTAAACAGCTGACCTTTTTTTTTTTGTTATTATTATTAGAAGTACGTCCACATATTTTAGCACAAAAATGATTTTCTCTTGAGGCAGCTTTAAGACGAGCAGATTTTTTGCTGGTTATATTGTTATAGTGGAGGTTTGGACAGTGTGCCTGCAGTGTGAGACCTACGCTGATGTCTTCAGAATTACACTGAGTCAGCAGGTCGTCATTATTGTGGTATGTCCTTCCATAGAAACGAACAGGGCATCTGTGATCCAAGAGCATCTGCAAGAGCAGCTTAGAGGACTCCACTCGCTGCGATATCTGCCTTCCACCATTCTTCCTACAACTGGACAAGGTCACTCTAAATGTTGTTACTTCACCCCCACCCTCATTCACTTCATGTGTCAGTTACAGCATGTAAATGAAGGACTCCAATGTGTCTCTTCATTTTCTCACCATCTCTCAGCAGCGTCGTTACCATAAGTGATTCCAGGACACCAGCACTGGCGGGAGATATTTCTAAAAGGAGACCTTGAATTCTCTTGAGGGCGTCACATATTCGCACGCGCTGAAATTCTTGTCATTGAGCAGGGCAAGTCAAGGAGATCACCAGATAGAATTTTTCTGTCTAACAAAAACAAGCTATTCCACTGCTGTACAACTGGACATAGGTGCTCCCTACATAACCCACCAGTTATAAATAGCACACCAATGACAGGGACTGGCTGGATAATGAGTTGAACAGAGGATGAGAGAAGCTACAGAAAAATCTGTGGAGGATTCACCGCTCCAGGTTCTACAAGGACACATGAGCACCTCCATCAATAGCAAACACAAAGCCATTAAATCATTAATACATTTACAATTTGGGAATCCCATCAGTCAGATCTGGAGTTTATATAATCTTTCTGGCTGCAAACAGTATTACAGTATACATCACTGACAGAGAAAAGACAGAAGCTTCTTCCTCAGTGAATATTGAGGCTTTAAACAGTGGATGTGTCCACTTTGATCTGTGCAGTCTAACCGCCCGTCATTACACTGACACATGACCCACATCCCTCGCTGCTTTTTTGTGTCTAGCACAGCCTGTCCTGAACATAACCCCAAAGGCCAACGACAGATATCCAACTATTTCCTCGTCTTGGATGGTTAACCAAGAGAAACAAAAACAGGCTGTAATTACCTACAAACAAAATCCACATTGACTGCATCATAAATGACTGGTGCGCGGCTCGCGTTTGAACTCTCTTTTCTCCCGGCATAATCAAAAGCAACAGAAAAAAAAAGTGAAAGTCATCATTTGTTGCCAGTTTGGTTTCTCCCAAAGGACCCGTGCATGTGTCACTGTAAGGCTGGTTTCTTCTATAAACGCTTGACTACGACAGGAGCTCTGCAATTAGAATATTTTACAACTTAACTTTCTCTTTTGTCATTACTGAGATGTCCAATTATGTTGCACAGCAAGCCACTGCTTAAACAGCAAATGTTTATGATTCAAGCATCCTTATTTTAGACACTGATCTGGTGTTTCTGGAAAACTCTGGTAATGTGGTTTACCAGTAAATGTCACCTGGCAGGAGTAGAATCACACACAGTAGCTTAGTCAGGACTGTGTACCATAATGAAGCATTTAAGGAGCTATTAAAGACATAAACAACAAACTTTCACAGATAGCTGTGCTAAACACAACAAAGCCTTGTTTCACTGCTTCACAAGGAACTGATCTAATGAGGAACAAATGGCGGGCTGATCATGTGAAGAAAAACAGACTGCGGCACACTGAAGTGCTTCCAAAGGCAACTTGCCATTGGCAGTATAAAGTGAAATTTACATAAAACCTAAGCAGCACGGCTGATTTGGTTAATTCGTTTGTAACTTTGTCTTCTGGTGCAATCCCAGGTTTATGTCAGGGAGAAGCAGGTGATAGATAACACCCACCTACTGAACACAAAAAAATAATCTGTGTGGAAACCTTTCATAGGTTAAGATCTTTGTAATGTGAAGTTGAAGCAGCTGGTTGGAATACTGGAGCTACCAATCAGGAGCTCTGCTGCATGTTTTGAGGATCAACCTGGGGTCTTTAAAAAGTATGTTTACATCAATGAATCTGACTTCTTCTAAGTTCAATGAAACAAAAAATAAATAAAAGCTGGTGTAAAAATATCTGATGGTTGATGAGGTCATTGACTTCTTACTTGGTTTCTGAATATTCTAATGATGGTTGAGTGTAAAAGGCTGTGAATGGGACTCGCCGCCACACAGGAGAAAAGTAAAATATTACACAACCAATTTCAACAATTTCCCTGAGGTTCTACCAAAGGGATCAATAAAGTTCTGTCTATGTATCTACCAGACATCTCTTGGTCATTTTAATACTACAACCCCGTCAATACTGTGACTTGGTGAGAAAAGAAAAAAGGAAATTTAAACTGATGTTCACAGAGCTGATGGGCAGCACTGCTGGAGCAGGGATCCTGTTGAACTCACGACTCCGCATCGCTCAACGCTAGCAAGTAAAACTGAAACATTCAGGATGGAAACGTGAAGCCGTTAGAAATGGGAAATACTGTAGTGAGGACGTCCGTGTTGTTCGACTTTCATTTCCCCCAACATTACAGTCAGACACTGACACGTTCAATTAGCCTGAAAACAACACGTCCTTGGGCTAATTCTATGACAGACGCTGTTATCGCATAAGGAGAGACGCGTCTGCTCCACAGTGAAGTCACCACATTACAGCACTGATGGGACTGTTGCTAACAAGCTGTCACGTCAGTTTGCGGTTAACTGGACGGACCAACTGATCCCGCGCGACTCTCTGGCCGCTTCTTGAACGTCAAACCGACACAGAACAGCGTTAACGGTAAAGTTCCCGTATTTAAAGTCAACAAACTGCCCGAACATAAGCAGACGTGTTGTGTTCTGACGGAGGAACGGGAGTAATCAATCAGAAGCGTCCCCTCACCTGCTCCGTGTTGCGGCGCCGCTGCTGCTGTTGTCTGGTCAGGATGCTGCTGCTGCTGCTGCTGCCGCCTCGCGCACGCGAGTCATTAAAGAGTCACCACCGCCGGCCCGTGCAGGAGCCGGTAGGTGGAGCGCGTGAAGACAGTTTGGCGCAGTGCTCGAAAAGGATCCTGGGAAACGTAGTCTTTCTTTTTTGTTGACAAACGCTCATGTTAACGGAGACCCTGATGCTTTTAACTAACGGGCGTCACCATGAGGATTACTTACATTAAGACAAGTTTCCAAAAGTGGACACATATCTTTTTATCACCATAAATTAGAAGATTTTGTGAACAACCAGGAAAAAAAAAGACAAAGGAAAAAAATGTATATATTCTGGCTGTGAATGAAATCCCTCGGTCACAAACCTTTAAAATATATTCAGATACAGATAGTATCAGATAGTTTACAGTATACACATAGTTTATTGGAAAACTAGTGTTTACAGGTAAAAACTGTAATCACCATGAAACATTTTCAAAAATCTTTCATTTAAGTGATGTATCATCGTAATAAATATGTAAACATGTATGCTAATTTGCACTAATGTCCAAAAGACAAAATGTGGTGAAAATTAATACCTAATTGTGCAAATCGGATGTTTTCTTTCCGCCAGTCTGAAGGCATGTTATGGAAACAAAAAAGCCCCACATTAATCAGTGCATGAAAAGAAAACCATATTTTTGCTTGTAGCGTCTCTCATTAAAGATGCTGAAAAGTTGCTTTACGTGTACTAAAACTGTGTATCACGACTCGCCTCCGATTTATATTATCCTTTTTTTAATTGTCACATTTCTTGATTAAAATCTTTCTTTTCTTTGTGACCTTTATGAAGTTTACTACATGAATTGTTTGATGACACAGTGTAAGCTGCTGAGTGACCCCCAATTTTTGAGGGAATGGTTTATGTAATGCTGTCATTTCTTTTGGTAATATGTGTCACTCCCTTTGCTTAAATCGGGGAATCAACACTTTTCTGACACAGCAACAACAAAATTATGTAGAACTAAGCTAAATTATTGCAGGACTGATGTTTAAAATGTTAATAATAAAATCACAATATTATTCATGGGATACCTCTATTACAATAGAATTCAACAGCACACAAGCTACAGCCTCCAGACTGAACATAGTGCTTCAACAGGATGATAGTATAACCTCCATGAAGGCAGTATATATCTTTTTTTTTTATTGACACAGCTACAGATCACAACCAATACAAGTACAAACACAAAAATAAAACAACCCTTCCTCAAAGAAAAATAAATAAAAAGAGAAAAAGAAAAATCATTCCCAACAAAATGCACAAACACAGTATTGCAACCAGTTTTACTGCAGGACTGCTGCTGCTGGCAGGTCGACGTTGTGGCGAATGTGCTGACACGAATTGAACAAAACATTTCACGACAGAATGACTTTTTAAAAAATAATAATAATAATAAATAAATGCAATATAAATGACTTCACCTATCGTTTGTCAGTCGTGTGACTACGCAAGTAAATACTTAAACTGATTTTTCCATTATTTTTCTTATCATACCGATATGACGAATCTGCCGGCGCCGGTCTCGTGACTACTTTTACTTAAAGCAGTGTCATTGACAAACATGGCTGCCTCCATGGGTGCTGCAAGCGCTGCCGCCTCCGACTCACAGAGTCCAGCTTCTCCTGCTCCGAGTATGGACAGCCCGGACATTCAGTACAGTGCAGTCCTGGAGCATCTCATCGGGGACAAGAGGGCCGTTAAGGACCTGAACCCCGCCGTTATGAGCGGACTGCCGGTGCCTGCGAAAAGCGACGAGCAGAAGATGATCGAAAGGGGAATGGAGAGCTGCGCCTTCAAGTCTCTGCTGGCCTGTGTGGGAGGTTTGTAACAC